GTTTTGTTTTGTTTAACTCAGAAATAAAGCTGTAAAATCATTTCAGTCTCAGCATCAATTGTAAATTTTTGATGGAAAAAAAGGATTAAGATTGCTCATGTCACCATAGGAACCATGAAACCTGGATTTGGCCTGACAATTCTTGAACAAGTAAAACGCAGACTGGTCAAACAAAGGGTTCTGGATTGTGCTGATAAGTGATGTGCAAACAGCAGCCACCCTGCAGACGTCTGTCACTCAGGTCCCTTTGTCACAAATAATGACTGGCTTTCAGAACTTTGTTTACCTTGCAGCCCATTTATACTAAATCTGACCAACTGTTAAAAAGTTTTGTGCTCCAAATGTCACAACGCATAAGTATTGTTAACACATCCTGATATTTTTCATCTTCGTCATGTAAATGCTATGTGCATGCATGACTAATGTGGCTTACAAAATGTTTTCTCTAGAAAATGTATGCAGTGTTACACTGAATATTTATGAAAGCCAATTTATGAGCAGACATCATTTTGCCAAGGTTTGCTTAGGCATAGGTACACATGCAGAGAGAAGATCATGTTTTGAGGTAAAATAGATGAGCGTTTTGCAATCTACACTGTGCATTTACCGCTGTTAAAATGGGAATGGGTGTCGATGGGGAAAGAAAGCAGTGTCACCTGTCATTAGGAAATGGGAAATAGCAATATCTTCAGTTAAAGTTCAATGTTTGTTTTTGCTAGCTATCCAATAAGATTTTCTGTCGAATTTTTGGCTTCATAATAACATTCTTTCCCCTTCCTGACAGATAACTCATTATTACTGTGGCTTCAAGGGAGTTTACTTGATAGTAAACAAATCTTATTTGCTGGGATCTGTAGAAATGGCTGATGGTTGCATTCATTTTTTGGCTAGACACTCTCTATTACACATATAATTTTTTCACTACCTTTGAAGGATGCCCTCCTTTTTTTCCAATAATGTTGCCAGTGAACATAACCCCCTACAGTAAAACAGTGTAAAAACAAATAAATAAACAAATTTGGGGAATGAAAATACAAAAGAACTAGATGGGTTCATTTATTTGTATTTTGCTCAGGCAAATTAGTTGATGATTTTGTCTTGTGAGGTGTTAATCAGTGTCCCGCACTCTGGTTGGACTGAGACACGACCTTAATATTGATTCAGTGCGATTCAGTTCTTTTATAAACAAAGAAGATCTGAGTAAACTCAGGCAGACACTGAAAAACTGCCTCACAAGCTACTACTGTAGCTAATATAATTATGCAATATGTATGTGTGTAAGTTTTAACATTTAAAAGAAACGATAACCAATGTTGATCCCTCTGTTTATTTTTCTACTCTTGGTGGTGTCTGTTTAAACCATCACTATCCACAAGATGGCATTGAATGGGAGTAGAGTTTAGAAAGTTCTACTCAGGTCATAAATTCTAAGCTGACTCCAATCTAGTTCCACAGACTTCAATGCTAGGGCAGCAGTAACAGAAAACTGCTTTCAGGCGTTCAGTGCAGAAACCTAGTAGCTAGGCAATACTGTCTGGCAGACAGTGTAGTGCTTGCGCATAAAGTAGTGCACCATATAGCTAACCTTACATACTGCACAAGTGGTAAGCTTATCAAAAGGAGTCATTTGCCACTGCATGTTGTCGAAGCACAGATCCTCCAATTGGTTAGAGACCTGCAGGAGTGGCTCATTTTGTCCCCTAGCTCTTGAGTACTGCAGCCACTGTTTTAAGGCCAAGACCAAGACAGTGGCAGCCTTACATCACCTGCAGCTATGACTTATCAAGTTGCCTGAGGCATACCATTTTGAATTTCTTTATTGTTTTGCTAAACTGTCGGATTTTATTCAACATGCTCCCAACCAGCTGCCAAAGGAGGAAACATGAGCATAACAGTCTGTCAAGACATTTTCACATGGAGCCCAAAGAACTGGCAACAAGAACTGCTTCTTTCCTACAGAGAAGACTACTTTATGGCACAAAGCAGGACATGTGTGGCTCTTCTTTCCAGCACAGTAGACATTCTGTCTCTTCAAGAAATATGGAAAATATGAGATGGGTTTGGAAAAGCACTCACACTGACAAGGCTTGACCCCGGTAGACAAAGCCAATCACCTCTAAAGACTCTAAAATATCAATTGAAAAAGTGAGTAGAATAGTTTAGTAGTCTTCTCAGCCCTGTCCTACACTATCTTAGCTGCCATTCAGAGGGGGTCTGGATGTTCCACTCCCCACTGGACAACTAAGGAGCTAATCAACTTTGACTCCCCTGTCTGGGCAAGGCGGCAGGAGACTCTTTGAAGGGTGCAGGTTTGCAACTGGGATTAATCTCACCGTGCTGAAGTATCTCCCTGGCAGCTGTTGGCATGTGCCGTCCACTCCATTGATCGTGTCCGTCTGTGCAGGCAGGGCTGCATAATTCTATTTAATGTATGAGGAGCGAGAGGGGCTCCATTCCTGTCACAGTCAGTGTAGACTGATCCAACTGGCCTCATGCTAATGCGGCCTGGCAGGCCTCCCCGAGGACAGAGTCTGGCTTTAGGGAGTACAGAGGAGGACTCATTCTGCCCATGCCGATTCGTCAAACATGAGAGGAGAACCGTATCTCCAGGTGATCTCAAAAGCACAGCGTGGGTGAGAAAGCAAGGACTAAAGAGAAGCCGCTGATCAACAAGATATGCTGTTAAACCGAGGAGCAGTATCACAATGCTTAGATAAATTAGCATTTATTGTCACACTGTGAATTTTGTCAAAGAGGAAAGATGCATATGACAGATACAATATGTCAACCTAGACCTTTTTGAAGTGTGGCTGAAGTGGAAGAAATATGAATTTTCTTTAAATTAAAGGCAATCCATTCAGTAGTTGTTAAGATATTTAAGAACATATACATAAGTTATGGCTCACAAATTATACTAAATTGCTTTAGTTTTATCACAAAAAAGACGAGTAACTGATTATTGAATCTGAATACGAAGGATATATAATAATTACCACTTGGTGCGAAGTTGCTTGTTGTCAGTTGCTTTTTCATGTGAGCTGGTTGTAACTTTGGGCCAGTGTTAAGTGGGATTCTCCACTAAGCCTTCAAAAACCATTGTGTGGCGCATACTGAACAAACAGGGCCCGCGCTTGCAAAGCTTTAATCATTGCTATTATTAATGATTGAGTGGTTTAGATAGGAGGAAACGCGAGCCGAGAAGACATTTTGCACCTTAATCAGGTAGAAAAACAACCACTGGAGCGCTTACAGCTTTCCCTGCAAATATGTCACTACTCATTCTGGAGGCTTTTATCCAGGCAAGCCACGAAGGACGTTATTATTAGTTATTTTTGTCATTTTACAAGAAATTGTTGACTGGAGCCAATGAAGAGAGCTTCTTGACCTTAGTATTATAACAGTGACATAGTGTGATATTCATAAGTTTCAATTTTCCATTAACTTTCCTTTAATATAAATAAATACTGCATTTTTTTTCCTGTGTCATTAACGCAAAATAGAGTCCAATTTATTAATTTAATATTATGAATATAATCCTGCATGTATAATGTACCCGATCACAAATGCGGTCATCCATTTAGACTCTTCTGCTCATCGAGGTCGCTGGTCACAGTCAGGCTGGAGGCTAGAAAGAGAACCATTCACATTCACAGCCGATTTAGAATCAGCAGTGGACCTAATGTGCATGTCTCTGGGCAGTGGGAGGAAGCTGGAGAATCAAGAAGGAACCCACACAGGCACATGGAGAACATGTAAACTCCTACCAGGTCAGTGGATTTGAGTCAATGGCCCTTCTTGCTTTGAAGCAATAATGCTAACCACCGTAACACCGTACCACCAAAAGGCTGTGAAATGGAGAGAATGATGAGTTTACAAGGGAAACAGCAAAAAATAAACTAATAGATCAATTAAAAAATCGATGCTTCATATCTGGGATGATCAAGATAGATATTTCATGGTCAAGCTCACAAATATCGAAAAATAAACAATCACAGAAAAATTAGTCTTAATGAGCCGTGGCAGTGTTAAGTAATCTAATGGCTGAGGGAATGAAGGCTTTTAAGTTTCTGTTTGTGTTACTCTGGGGTAAAAGGTAACCTGTGTGCAACTTCCTGAACTCAGATGACAAAACATGTTCAGGATGGATATTAATGTTTTTTGCCTTCGTTGCCACCTGGTTTTCCCATAGTGAACACAAACCTCTCTGCCTGACCCCCGTGATTTTGGAGCAGGTGTTAACAATACTGCTGAGGGAGTTTCTATTATTGATCGAGAAAACAATGTAACACCAAATAAAAGAAAATCAACAATAAAAAATACATAAAATGTTCTTTAAAGTCTATATACTCTTTTTTTTTTGCAGAGGACTTTGTTCATATTAAATTTGAGTTGATATGATGATCCCGGTATATGGAGATTTCACATTATAGTCTGCATCCAAATATAATTTCACATTTGACCCCTAACCTCCCTTTTATGTTTCAGCCCCCAAAATACAGTTCTAGTTTTTTAAAAGTAAATACTACCCTTGAATTTTGCTGCCTTGCTGGATGTTTCTTGTTTTTGTTTTTCCCTGATGATACTTTTCATGTTCCGTCTAGAATATTAGAGCTGTTTGAGTTCCGCATATTATATTCACCATGTTTAATATATTTCGCCAACGGTGTCATCTTTATGCTTTTAAAGCGACGCATGAGTCATTGTTACCACTGTGGTTACTGGAAGAACCCTAAGCCCTTGATGCCACATAGTGTAAATGCTGGTGGATGTGAGTGCTAGTCTCATTTGTTAGCATTATTAATGCTCATGTATCACATTTGACATGATAACTCATGTTTATTCATTAAAATGCTGAGAATTTAGCTGCTCAGAATTTTGCACATCATTGGATTTGACAGAAGCATCGATTGGATTCATATTAAAATCTTTTATTTCGTGCCATTTGCCCAGATCGCTGCCCTCCCCCAGATTCATTCCAACAAACTCCCTATAGCACGTGCTCGTGTTGTTTTACATTTTATTAATAGCAACATCAGAGTACTAAATGTACAGAGGACGAGTCCAATGAGAATCGCATTTACAGTGCTTGCAAATACAGAGCTTAGTAGTACAAGAGTAACCAAATCAAAGTCACCTGGAAATCGTAACATTTACCAATAACTACAAAAGGAAGAGATGTGGTTCATAAGACACAAAATAAAAGTTATACAACATTTAGCCGTCACAGAGACAGACTAGAGTCCCTTTTCGTGGAGGTGTGTTTTGTGTGTGTGAGTGTGTTTGTATATACTATAGTCATAGGTCTTATACAAAAGTTAACAGAGGTACTCATTGATATATTAAACACAAATATAAAAGTTTGAGTCACAAAGTACAAACTCTTCATTTTTATGGCGACAACACAACTTGAGTCAGGTTCCTTCATGGTAGGTATGAATCATGATTGTAAGTCAGCCTCAATGAACTGTGTGTGAAAAGCCCTTCCCTCCCCCCTGCCCCAGAGAGAAAAGAATCTATACAAGCTCCTCACCCCTTGACCTTTGACTTGACCTTTGAACTTTTACTGTACTTCATATTTAGTTTTGTTGCTGTTTTTGCTCCATCTACTTTGATCAGCTCTCGCAGAACATGCAATCGCAGGCTATCCCATTCGCCTGCTATTCCAAATTCCCTCGCTGTGTCACTCGTTTCAGGCCTGCACTTAGCTCGCGAAGGCATGATCCAGGGCTAGAGGCCATCTGCATGAATTAGCTGACACGACAGCAGATTTGGGTCACGCTGCTAGTCTCATTCTAGCAGAGGGATTATAAGAGAATTGAGATGTTGCAAACAAAGTCGTTTTTTTTTTCTCCAAGTCTTTTTCAAGTCTGACTGCACTGATAATCACTGACAGTGACAGTGCTTTAGCTCTTGTGAATAGAAAAAGTAAAAACATGACCCGAGAGGAGAGTCGCAGCCCTCCGCTTAAAATACAGTAAGCGCACAGTACGTGATTTTTTGTTTTTTTAGTTTTTTGAAAAGATGCGGAAAAGCGAGGAGTGAGGAGCTACAGTTTACTGGGAGTGAAAAAAAGAAATAAATGGATCCAGCGATATACCTCCACAGTCTCGGGGCAGTTTGTGAAATAGTCACAACAATATAATCACTTTTATTGAAGTTCTCAGGCAGAAAAGAGCTGTGTCACAGTTGTTTTTTGTGCTTCATTTTGAAAAAGCAACACATTAGGCATCAACAGACCTTCACCAAAGACTTGTCTACACCTTCTTTATATATTTTTTCTTTTCTGTCGACTTGCTGATTTTGGTTTCTTTGGTTCAGAAAAAAAACTCACAATTTGGATCAAAACACTTTTTGTTAATATGTTTAGGAAATATCCAATTTTCTAAGTTGCCTGTCAGAGGACAGTTTCAAAAGAAACACGTCCACTAGCATTAGCCTGAAAATCCTGCTGACTGAGAAAAGATGTGTCCGTGCACGAGTGGACTATATTTTGTCACTATTTCACAAAAGGCCAAAACACCGGCCGAGGATGGATATATATCATTCTGCAAAGATAAACTTTATCCTTTCCTCTCAGTTTGTCCTCTCACCTTCTAATTAAACGTCTCTTTTTGTTTTCATTGATAAAGCGTCCACAAGATATTTTTGTTATCACACAGTGTGCTAATAAGTCCACAATATAGCCAATACACGGATTCCTCTGACCGTTCCTCTGGTATGAATGCTTCCATTAATATGTGGAAAGAAAACAACTTTGTCCTTCAGCTAGCATGTCATTCAAACAAAACACATGTCAATAACTTCCACTCTGAGTTTCTGACATGCAAAGAGGAATCACAGTCTCTGTAAATGTGGCACATCGTTCATCTTGACAGGAAAAGCCTCGTTGATTGATAGCTTGTTTATGTCGAGGAGAGCACAGGTTTTATGGGCTGCTGAAGAAACAGAAAGGAGAACCGCAAAATATTCATTTGCTGTGAAAAAAAAGGCATGTCGAGTAACCCCCACACCCACACCTAACACAACAACACAATATTTCTTCAATCAAATCTGACTGGGCCGAGTGGAATTACTTTCCTGCCTCTTAGTTATAATAAACTAAACTCATCTGCTATACTGAAATGTAAACTGAAAACGCAAGAAAGCAGTAAGACGCTTCCTTACGTATCAGTTTGATTTCAGACAGCGGTAAAAGGGGGAAGCGTGCTGTATGCTGATGTCTCCAGACATCCGCGACTGTTTAAAATATAGATCACAGCTGCTGGTTACATTTTTCTTTGTCTAAATGTCCTTCAGGAATGCAAAGAGAATTCCTTTTAGCAGCTCCTCATGATTTCAAAGAGAAATACTAACATTAAAATCAAGCTTTTCAAGTCTTTATAGATCTGCCCGAAACACGCCCAATGCCTGAAAAGAAAAAAAAAGCTCAAAAACTTTTTCCCCAAAGTATTAAAACACAAAGAACTTCAGAAAGTTAAAGTTTCCTGTTGTTCAATTAGAGCATTTAGTATATTCCAAGGAATCCAGAATCTTTCCCACAATATCGGTATAATCTCAGCTGACACTTTCAGCAAATTCTAGCTAGTTGCATTGATATTCCACAATCATCAGATATGGTGTTGTTAACAGATGAAACTGTTTACATCAAATGTCAATCAGCCAAATGTTTTAAAGTTGTGAGACTAAAATAGAAGTTGTTCAAATTTCTGTGTAGGTCTCTTATATGTAGCATGTAATCTTAAAACGACAGTCAACTTTAGCACAGCTAGAAATTAGGGGGGGGGGGGGGATTTTTACATAGATTTGGCCATCACTGCATTCAATAATATTAATATACTGTATTCAACAGAGTAACTGGGAAATTGTTTACATCAGGCAGCCATTTAAAAGAGAAAGAAATGGGCAAATTATAAAATGATCTCACAAACTTTCCACTTTGAAGGTTCATTGTCCTGTTGTTGTTGGCTCCCTCCCCTCAGCCTCATTGGGCTCAGGGAGAGGCAGATGGACGCCTCTCCCTGAGGTTCTGTTGGAGGTTTCTTCCTGTTATCGGGGAGTTTTCCCTTCCCACTGTTGCCAAGCGCTTGCTCAATGGGGCCGTCTGATTATTGAGGTTTTCTTTGTACAGTTGGAGTTTGAATTGATTTGATAACCTGGCTTGATTAGGCAAAATGACTGCGCTCCCAGTTTTTGGCAAATTACTTGTTTAGTACATTGTCATTATAAACAGCAGAAATTTTGGCCAAAGCTAAAGAAGCAGAAGAATTTGCAACCAAACTAGCAGCCCTGTGAGGCCGCACTGAAGCACAGCAGCTGTGATTTCAGCTAAAACAGCACATAAACAGACAGTGCTAACATGCTAATGTTGAGCAGGTGTAAGGTTTGTCATATTCACTGGCCTAGTTCAGTGTGTTAGCATGCTAGGTACACCTAGCATACTGACTGAAACCAACACTGCCATAGCCATGCCGGGATTATAGCTGAAGGGCAAAGCTGGAATAAAAACAGGATTACTGAAAAAGTTTGAAAATGAAAACGTTGCCTATCAACGCTAAAGTTGGCTTTTTGTATTTTTAACCCTGACTATTTAGCAGTCACATCAAAAAGGAAAATACAGACAGTGTACTTCACGAACGGTCCTCCTTTCAAAAGTTTTCCTTTAGATGTCTTTCCCTGATTTTCTTATATGCTTAATAAATGCTGATATTGGTTTATTTTCAGAGTCATTACAGTAAATAACATTTTCTGGGGCAGTTGTAGCAGTATGTATATACAAATACAAAATGAGGATGGTGACAAATGATTGCAATCCAGTCTAAATCAAGTTTAGTTAGTTTCTTGGCAGCTACTGTTGGATTAACAGTTTTTTTGTTTTTTGTTTTTTTTTAATTCATGTGATGATACACTGTCTATTAAAATCGATGCAGAAATGATAGTTAAGAAGAGCAAGTCATTGGTTTCCCAGCCAACCATGGATACAGCTGAACCCAAGATATGATCACAACACCGTTTAAAACCACTCGGTACTGTTTTTACTTTCCACCTGGAAATCACTCTTCAGTCTCTGAGCTATTGCAGCGTCTACTGAAGTATTATACTGGTTAGCTAAAGATATAATACAAGTAACTGCTTGAAAGTGCAGGTAAGAAGCTTGGCACAAGGTTAGTTTTTGTGTTTTGAAAGAAATACCATAGTTACACATGTAAACAAAGACACTATCCCCGACCTAGCTGAAACCTTCCCAAAAAATGGGAGAGGTCTTGAAAAATAGAACACACCTGTACACAAATAGAAGCAAATATATAGAAAATACATTTACACGTGTATAATTTACAGCAAGTTTCATAACCCTCTTACTAGTAAGATATCACTGTTCATTCAAAAAAATATATGTTATGTCAAAGAAGCAACGCAGCCTATCGTGAGGCTGCACTGGTATGTGTCATTCATGAGATGAGTTTCATGTTGTGAATTGGCCAGAGCAGGAGTTTTGCACCACAGTGTTTATCCCAAGCCATCTCGACACCTCCTGAATGGCTCCCACGTACTGATACTGATCACTGGGACAACCTGTTGTCTTGAATCCTTTAAGGAAGTGAGTACAAGTCCGAAAACCTAGCAAGTGAAGTACTGGAGATCGACCGTCTATACCTAGTAAAACCCATCATTTATATCTGTACATATTGCTGTCTATAGCCATAAACATTTACAATTGCAGAATTGTAGTTGTGCTTTGTACAAACCCACAGCAAAATAAAAAGGTAGATTAACAGACAACTTTCTCGAAAGCTTCGTAGCACAAAGCTAATCTGTTTCAGGAGCTTGAAGATGATAATAAAAAGTATTGGTGCTAGGAAGCTCTCAGGAGAGCTTTACTGTCCTTCCTCACCAGAAGTTTAAACCAATTTGGCAGCAGCAGATTGGTTTGTCTTAATCCCCTTACTACAACAAAACACAGAGGGAGTGTTTTTAGGCCTTTGAAAGTACAAAATAGAATTTTTTCCTCTTAATTCTGTCCTTTTTTTCCCCTTTTTGCTCAGCTTTCTACAGCACAAATTAAAACAAATTATCCGAGAGTAACCCCAAACATCCTGGCTGTGATAGCTTAACTACTGAATGATTTAAACATTGTCCTCAAGAGTTTATTTGGGTCTGGAGAGAGCGAACCCTTAAAAAACCTACTGTGTTTGATGGGGGATTCCTTCCTGCTTACATTCCACAGTTAAACAAACCATGCATTTTGATCCTGAGGGACGCCACATTTTTAGCTTCCCATTTCTTCTGTTTAATTCCACCTTGAACAAATCGGTTGACGATGGAATTACATAGACTTCCGCCTATAATTTAAGAGTTTCAGGCTCAACAACTAATTTGTCAAACCGGTCGAGAGTTGGGAGTTGGGTGGGGATGTTCAATTACTATCCGTTTTTCAACTTTGCTGTTTATGCAAATGACCACAATTTATTTGAACACAGGAGGTTCAGATTAAATCTCTTCTACCCTTTAATTTGGAGCTCGGATCAAAATCTAAACCGTTAGATTTATCCCAGACAGCTGCTGAGAGAAGAGACTGATACGAGGTGTGCGAGAAAGCTAGACAGACCTGAGGCAGTATGAATGTCCTGTCAAGCTCCATGCAGTCTGTGGCTGTACTCACTCGTGAATGTGCCGCTGTGGGATCTAACGAGGACACACGCCTGCGCCACAGAAGCCTTTTGTGTATTTTTCCATTTTCCTAAATCAGATGCAAATCTTACATAATAAGCAGTCGAGGTGGGCGCTGTACTGGCTTGGACCAGATGTGTTCAGATGGTTGTCTTTGATATTACCTCAGCTTAGGTGGGAGTATTTAAAAAGTGGTTCCAAGCGCTTCTGACTTCCCCCGTTAGGGCTGTGGCAGACTCTTGTGTGTAAAAAAATAGACACGACTATTCTGATTTTAAAATGGGACCGGTAGAAAGAACTTTTTTTCTTCTTTTTTTTCTTAAATTAACCGTCCAATAAAGCATATACCGTTTTCCATCATCTCTCTTCCCCAGCTAATAGAATAGTGCTTCATATAAATATCTTTTAGACTCTTTTGTAACACATTTCTTAAAACTATTTCATAACATATTCAAATACATTTAGCATTTTTTTGTACTTTCATATTTCTTTAAAAACCAAAAACCAAAAGAAAAAAATGTAACTGCAGTTGATACAGGGTTAATATAACGCTCTTTTTTTGTCGGCTTGTTTTTTAGTCCATCAGTCGTTGTTGAAACTTCTGTCCATCCAGGTTGTGGCACATAGTGGCATTATTGGCACATTGTTCAGAAATACAGTTCATCTTCCTCCCGAAGAAGCTCCTTGAGTTCCTCTGTGATAGGGCTAATGTTTTCCTTGAGACATCCGCGACGTCCACAGTCTAGTTCCATACATCCTGTAAATATATTTATATATAATCTATATCTAAATGACCGTAGGTTCTTGGAAATATGGTTTTCGCAGCGTTATGGCTGCTGCTTGTCAACTCTAGAAAAATAAATATCTTCACCAGTGTCCAAAGATCACGCTATTTTACAAAAGAAGCTGTTTTTTTGTGTTTCTTGTTTCCAACTGGATCCTGTGGAGATGCAGAGAACACAACCCCAGTTACTTCTCATTATGTTGCCAGTGCAAAATTAAACACACACACAAAGCTAGCCTGCTTCTGACTTATTATAGGGAGAATATGGGTTTGTCTCAAAAAACATGTGACTCCAGTGCCTTTTTTACATGATATGAAAGGGCAGTGTTGTATTAAAAATCAGTACAGTTAAGGTCTATTGTTGCATACACTTAAGCCTAAAAAATACACAAGATTTGCAAAGATAAAAAGGGATCTTATGTCTTTTATGACTCCAGCACAGGGAGCAAGCTGTGGAAAGCTAAGCTGAGTGAGACTAATGTGTGTCCAGATAACCCAGGGTCCCTGTCCCTGCCTCTCTGTGTTACCTGCTGGCAATCTATTCCTCTTAAAAATCTGGGTCAATAGCAAACATTACACCGCTTCTTGACCTTCCAGCAACACTGTGGGGCTAGACCATGTGTTTAACGTTCACGCTTTGAATTTCAAATGCTGGCCCATTCTGGCATATTTTAGCCACGCATAAAAATGTGTCACAAGTCAAGCAAAAGTGTCCCTTACTCCTTGAAATGCGCCAAACAATGCACCTTTGGTGTAAGAATGAAAGCGGCACCAAAAATATCAATGAAAATGTTTCAGATGTGAGAGGAGAAATAATTAACAGTGACCATAGTACTGATATTCACATAATTAGTCTCTTATCTCAGCTAAAGACCCCGGCTACTGCATTGAACCGGATTCCTCCTGGTTTTTTTTTTATATCAAAAGGGAACAAGATGGAAAGGGAGCATAATCATGTCACAAATAACAAACATATGCCAAGTTCCCTTTTATTCCCAAAGTGGGGCAGCATCACCATGGGGATCGAAGGCTCAGATGATTATTTACAAGGGGATAAAGTGCTGCGGTACCCACCAAAGCGTGAATTCAGGAAGTCTCTTCCACCCACAGAACATGAAGGCCTTCAGCTCGTCAACATGAGATCTCAAACCACTTCTCTGACACAAAGGCCACAGGAATCAGTTGTCTTTCAGTTGGTGAGGGCCTGTTAGGCAAAACGCAAGAAGTCAGAGTCACACTGCAAGAAGTTAACTTGTGAATATAAATGATGTAATCAGACTGGTTACATTTTTATATTAGATACCATCACAACATATTAGTTGATAGTAAACCTCCTATAATTGATTCTAAAATTATCATTGGTGAGCAGTGTCTTTTTCTCATAAGACTTCTTCTTTTTTATGCTGCACACGCTACAAGGCCTAATTATGTCTCTTGGTAGCCTTAAGTGCCAAAATCAACACGGTACCACTGTCACGTACACAAGCGGGGTGACAGAGACCTGCACTGGGTGAAGGTCTATGTCAGCCTCGGACGGCTGCTCTGCAAAAATAAAAAAAATCCTAGATTTTTCAGCAGTGCTGTTGGTTAACCTGTGAAAAACAAGCTATAAAAACCTAACCATCCCTGTGTAATTTAAAAGCAGACTATTTACAGCAGATGAATTATCCCGCCATCCTTGCCAACATAATGAATCTGTTACAGGGTTTGGATTCACTGAGTAAGTGTGACCATCTTTGCTGGCCCTGCGGCTTAGATGACTATGTTATCCACTCAGACAGCAAACACTGTGAATACTCCACCAACTTATTGTCGGCGTGGCAATGCAAAGTGTGTGCGATTTCGATGTGAAACCTACCTGTCCGGTTAAATCGCAAAGCGGAATGCAAACGCACCAACGACTCACCAAAGACACATCTCTCGCCTAATGTTTCTCTGTATATATAACACTTTACATGTTCAGTAAACTTGGGCATGTAAAGTGTATTTACTGATATTACATAACTTGCAGGTATTGAAGTTCAAAGCATACACCTTTGTGCCAACGTTTAATACTCCCATGAAGAGCCAGACACAAAACGACACAGTAAAGACATCTATCAGCTGACTCATTACACCAATAGAAATCAGTAGAACATGTTATTTTTTGTGTGTGTGCAGCCTGAACATGCTGAGGCATGCGGCAGATGGATGAGGTGATGGGAAGCAGTCCGCCAATTTATGTGTAGATTTGCTCGAGCAAAATACCGACTGAAGCTGACTGTGGCTGCGGGGTAAAAACACGAGCTTGGAGACGAATGTGAGGATTCGTGGTCGACATTTCAATGCTCTTATTCTCATCTGTTTCTGCTTAATGCTTCTTAATCCTGAGTACGAGTTACTGGAACGTTTTTTAACCTATTTTAAACCGATCAAGCCTTGCTGCTCAGCACGGAGCTTCATAAAATATAAGCCACATGCTAATAACATTCACACTGTGGATTTCCAAGTGCTGAATGACTGGGAAGCGTGCATCCACCTGTCATACAGTCAGTACCTGTTTCCGTTATAAGCAGTCTTGTAGACAGGCGTCTGCTGGATCATCTCATCAGTGTAGATGGGTACGGCAGTCCGAACGCACTCGTGCGAGCACTGCAGGCTGTCGTTGTAGGCAGTGAATATGTCCACCTTGCTGGGCACCCGAGCTGGGGTGAAGTCTGTCAGGTTTTGGCAGCTTTCTTCTTGCTGGTGGATCTTTCGCTGATGGCTATTGTGGCGACCATTTCCAGACTGCGCACAGCTACAAAAACACGCACCAAAGACAAGAAACAAACATAAAATCATACCTTGTACCTTCGTTCATCTATTAGGGTTTCTGAAAAGGAACGGGGGTGCGCGTCTGACGTGTCGTGAAGCAAAAAGTAAAGGAATCTTTCCTACCAGTTTTTAAGGACGAGTGTTGTAATCAAGGCCGCGATAACCATAATGAGAGACACAGTGATTGTGATTATCTGGTGAACTGCCAAACCTGTAAAAAGGGCAGAAATGTGCAGGAGAGCAGAGAATTACAATCATTTGTATAGGAAATGGATTCCCCTGTTGTTCACAGCACACGGCCAAGCACTTCACTTCTGTTTTGTTTTTTGAACTGCACAAACTTGCTGCACTTGACAAAGTTTCGAGGCCGTCCTCTTAAAATGTAGAGGATAACAAGCTGCAAAGAGTACTGGTGACACTGACTGAGTTTGAGAATTAGAAATTATTCTATTACAGTACAGTCCACTCGAATGGGTAAGTGAGTTTTCTAATCTGCAGATCAGAACTTTATATTATGTCACCAAACTCACAATCAGTAGCTCTACAAAAAAGAACTGACATGTTTTTCCATAATGCTGTCTTTGTAGATACTGCCCCAAGGCTTTTATTTAAATATTAAATGAGAGCAAACAAGTTGATATGTTATAGATGTATATTTTTATGCATGAAAAAAAAAAACAGATCGAAAGATGATCTGCAGTCTGAACGCTCTAAAGGGAGGCATGCCATTGCACAGCTAACAACCAAGGCCACTTACACACATACATACAAAGACACACACGCACATTATGTGAATCATTAATTGATTTGGGGCAACAAGACATGACCATATATAATTCGCAGAAAAGTACTACCACGTTAAGATGGCAAACTAGTCATGGCCCGCCTAGGAAAGATTGCATTCACTTGAATGTTTGGTTTGTTGTGTAAACTGAAACATTTTTCCACATTTAAGGTGTTTTTGGAAACCTTAAATTAAAGTTTGGTGTCACATATACCACTATTTCTCCAACTAGCTGCTAACTGTGTTTGTTAGCTGTCTGGTGCTGGGCAGGTAGCATACGGTGACTGAGGTTATATATACTCCTGCATTTCTGTGGTACTTCACTTCTTTACTGATAAAGTCAAAATTTGAACCACAGTAAACACTGACTCAGTCACTGCAAGGACTTCTGAGGTCACATTCCTATCCACTCACTGTTAATATTCATGATACTCTGGGCTGAGTAAGATCTATTTGGACGTGTCTCCCTGCTCTTAGAAAATCATTATTGGAAAAAATTAAACCCCAATTATAGGGCTATCAGAAGGAAAGAGTGGTTGCTAGCTGACAAAATGATAACTCATATGGACTGAGTCTTTAGTGGTCAATTTAGAACAGAACACTTTTGTATGAATCACTGCTTATTATTATTTGATCTAAGGAGGATTATAAAACCCGCAAATCTCTGTATAATCACAAGTCAACCTGGTGGCAACCATATCATTGTAAATTCACACAATCACTACGATTGTTTGCTAAGCTTTCTGGACAGTGCCAAGCCATACAAGTATTCAGCCTTTTGTTTATGCAGGACATCTTAATCAGCTTCCACATATATATGAAGCCCACATTTGTATGTTCTGTATGACTAAAGTATAAAAGCGCTTTTATTACTTAAAGACTTCAGACTCATGTGTGCTGATCTCTCACTGGTGCCAGAGGAGAGTAATCCAAACAAAACTGCCCAGGACATGTCTAAAGTAAGGATTAGTGCAAGCCTATTGCATTGTACTGTAAGGTTAGTGTGTATCTGTGTGGGTGAGTGATACAGCATGAGAGAGACTAGGACACAATGACACACTGCAGCAGGAAGCCAAAAAAAGAGAAAAAAGGGAAAGAAAAGCCGTCATGATGAAAATGCCCACGTGGGCCTTATACATCTCACCTCTCCATCAGCCAGCTGCCTGGCTGCTGATCCAAGCCAATTTGTCTTCGGGAAACGCTCAAAAGGAAGTGCTGCTCGGTCATTTTAGAAAGCACACAACGTCTCCTCTGCCTTCCAACTGTCTAAACAGCCTCTTCTTAGACAATAAACTTAGATGGGCAGGACCATGCAAAAGACATACCAGGTCAACCTTGGATTAATGATATCTCCGGCTGGCTCAGGGAAGCCTTACCTTCCCAGTGCAATCAGGGTCCCTTGCCATGGCAAAGGCACATTAACTTATCTGGCAAGTCATTTGCATTTGCCTCATATCCCCTCTGTATCCTCTAACCCCCCTCTCTGCCTGTGCCAGGCTTATGCTGAAGCTGTTAAGTTGAAAGTGTTGAGCTGTAAATTAACATCTGTCCAAATTCAGGCACAATACAGCTCCAACCTGACCTTGATCGATAGTTGAGTTGTCCACTGAGGATTGCTTCATTTTATATCGATGTCAGACTGAAAGAGGGGGACTTTCCAGTCAGTAGATTTTAAAATCAAAAGCTGCACTAATTTGATTTGTAAAGCCATTACTGATTAAATCCCATTATGGGACAGAATTAGGCTGTGTTCCTTTCCAGCCTCCTATGGACACTCAGCTCAGGAAACAAGTGGAACTTCAATTAGTAAATTACAAACTGCCATTAACTGACAAATATGATGATTGATGTCTGTAAACATGTTCAGAATTCTATAATTTTGTATGAGGGGAATGTGATTGGCTACGCTAGGCAAACATTCACATGCTGTGCAGGGCTTACTGATGCGGCTTTACATCTTATTGTGGCTGTAGCTCAGGTGGCAGAGCAGGTCAGCCACTAACCTGAAGGTCAGTGGTTCGATCCCAGGCTGCCTCCTGGCAGCATGCCAAATATCCTTGGGCAAGATACTAACCCCATGTTTGCCTACTGGTGGTGGTCAGAGGGCCCGGTGGCGCCAGTGTCCGGCAGCCTCGCCTCTGTCAGTGCGCCCCAGGGCAGCTGTGGCTACAATGTAGCTTGCCATCGCCAGTGTGTGAATGGGTGAATGACTGAATGTAGTGTGAAGCGCTTTTGGGTCCTTAGGGACTAGAAAAGTGCTATACAAATGCAGGCCATTTACCATTTATTGCTATTTTTTAATGGTATTTAACCCTCTCAAGGCAGGCGTTGCAGATTTGTAACAAGTAAAAGCTAACAACCTGATTACCCCACATACATATTTTATGAGTTTTTTTTACTCAGAAGTACCACTGCAGGTATTCTTTTGTGCATTAGCAACAAAAACTTAATTTGAGCCTGAGAGGGTTAAATCAAAGTTACTTCCAGCTGCCATTCGGAGCCAAAACAAGCACACTTTCATCACATGTCCTTTAATGAAACAACTGTACCCAAGAATGTGAGGTCCAGCAACACAAACACAACATTAAGTCTATTGCATCTTAATTTTCAGGGCAGTACATTTAAGGCTGTGGGAATAATGGAGCAGATAATGACACGGGTGACAAATCTGAGTGCAGAGGCTAGTTCTATTTTAATCCACGACTGCCAGTTGGAGGGAGGGAAATTTGGCCTCTCTATCTAAAACTCATTGTGTCCTGGCAGTCAGCTTGAAAAATCACCTTTGGCAGTCACCTTGCTTTAGAGATACCCAGTTAGATTTTGTTTGGTCAAATCACTGCCAAACAAAGAGCAGCAGAGAGTCACACAGGCAGAGGGAGGAAGGAAGAGGAAATGGGGACATGAAGTGATACAAAAGGGAAGGGACTGCTGGCCTGTAACCTCTGTGGAGCTCCCATCAATGCTCCCAGCAAGGAATAAATGAGATTTTTCACCTTCATTGCTATGACAGTTTGATGAACATGTCAACAAAAAGAAGTACAATTAAATTAAATTTCCCCTTGCCACCTATTTTTAATAAAAGAGCGACAGCTTAGACACAAAAACTCTGGGGAGTCAATTAATGTGACGTTAATGCGTCGAAGACAAATATCTGTCTCATCAAAGCAAAAAGGTCAAAAGAACAAAAATACAGTAACATTTTTACAGATATATGTACACCAAAAATAACAGCCCCACCTTCACAGAGTGGTGGAGCATTGGAGAAAGAAAACTTCGCCTATGTCGGTGCAGCTCTAGATTGCCTTCTTTAAAAGTGCAAGATAACTGATAGGGGATTGTGAAGTCCAGGTTCTCTTCTAGTTTTAAACCATCAACCTTTCTCTTTATGTACATAGTTTATCTTCTCTAATTCTGGATGCCGTAGTTAGCTTTTCCTACCTGTTTTGCACCAAACATCAGGCACAGTCAGCAGCTAAACAGCCAGGCATTTCTCTCAGCACATTTCTTAGTGGACACAAAACTAATACCAGTGAATATGGGACTTTCAGTCTGCTCAAAGTGTCAAGCAAAAACATTTTATTGACATGTGTGCCATTACAATTGTATAAAAAATTTGGTGTTGTGTTTACTCTGCTGCCTCCAAGTGGAAAAACATCCACTTTTTACACTGTTGCTGCATTAATCTGAAGAATCACATCTCTAATCAGAAGATTTACTAATTTATATTTATAAGTCACCAATTTCTTGAGTTGTGGAGTGATGGTTATGGCTGTTTTTATGAAGGAAAATACAGTCACAGCAGTTCTCTCTAAAAATCCAGTATGATTTATATGGGTAAAACTCCTCAGCCGTCAGTGTCTTGAAATATCACTTTGGCTTAAAATGTTATGCACACAAATTGTTATTTTCCCTTATAGCTAACGGGTTATTAAATGAGATTAGATTTATTTTTAGCTTTTGAATAGTGGCAGTTGAGTCAGACCTGAAAGTGTAGCAAGAAAACAGCATGTTGACATGAAACAGCTGGCCTGGGATTGGCTCAACCCAGGCAAATGCTGACTGCAAGCTACAGGGACATCATTTATTTTGATAATATTAGCAGTAGTCGTTTTATTTGTTCAGTGGCATATCAAAATTTCTTCTTGTGCAAACACCATTCAAATCGTCTCCATGCACAAGGAATCTACTTTAGCCTTTCTAAACAGTAGTTGAGATGCAAGATCTGTCTGTCTGCTGTTTCATTCGTAAATTAGAATGATGCAACAACTCAATGGTGATGGTGCTACAAAGAAAATCTATATTTAATCACTGTGCATATGTATGAGTTATTGTGTTAGTGTGAGTGTGTGTGTGTATACTGCATCGTCTACATGTAGTGGGTTTAGGCATTATTTGCAAAGTGATTTAGAGGTAATGGCACCAAAGCC